CTGAAAAGAATAAAAAGCTGATGTCCCCCAAAGAAGAAGAAATTCTACCAGCTCACTCTTCAGGTTTCATTTGCAATATTGGTTCTTTCTGGTTCACCAGTAGACTGCCTTTGGACTCGAACTTGAACTCTTTACTAAGGCTTTAACCTGTTGGCCTCCCCCATCAAATTTTGGACTCATCAAGCCTCCACAATCACATGAGCCAATGCCTTAAAATAAACATCTTTATGTGTGTGTGTGTGTGTGTGTGTGTGTGTGTGTGTGTGTGTGTATCCATCTTATTGGTTCTGTTTCTCTGGAGAATCTTGACTAATACAGATGTTAAGTATTAAATATCTTTTCTATCCTAGAGTAGGTGTGCTTTTCAAGCAAAAAGATTCTCCAGCAGCTATTGTTAAACATTTGGCTTCTGACAGTTCAGTAAAAATATAATACCTGGCAATTGCAATGAAAAATACTGCCATTTATAATAGCATGAAATACATGGGGATAATCTGTCCACATATGTGCAAGATCTATACATTGAACACTACGAAACATCACAGACAGAAATTAAAGAAGACTTAAATAAATGGAGAGAAATACCATCATCATGAGTCAGAACACTTAGTATTGTTGTCTACTCTCCTCAAACTGATCTATAGATTCAATGTAACTACAATAAAAATCTAGAATATATTTTTAAGAAGAAATCAATAGGCTTATTCTAAAAGTTATATGGAAATGCAAAAGACTTAAACTATAAAAACAACTTTGAAAAAGAACAAAGTTGGAGGACAAACACTTCCTGATTCCAAGATTCATTATAAACCTATAGTAACCAAGACAGCGTGGTATTGCCATCAAGGTAAAAATGTATATCAAAGGAACAAAGTAAAGAGTTCAGAAATAGGCAACTGATTTTTGACAAAGGTACAAAGGCAATTCAGTGGAGAAAAATCATCTTTTCAACAAATTGTGCTGGACAAGTGGATATTCATATGCACAAAACAAACTTTTATCTATATATCATACCATATATAAAAGTAAACTCAAAATAGATCATAGACTTATATATAAAAGCTAGAACTGGGCCGGGCGTGGTGGCTCACGCTGTAAGTCTACCTTTGGAGCCGAGGCGGGCGGATTGCTCAAGGTCAGGAGTTTGAAACCAGCCTGAGCGAGACCCTGTCTCTACCAAAAATAGAAAGAAATTAATTGACCAACTAAAAATATATATATAAAAATCACCGGCAGTGGTCGCATGCCTGTATCCCAGCTACTGGAGGCTGAGGCAGTAGGATTGCTGAGCCCAGGAGTTTGAGGTTGCTGTGAGCCAGGCTGACACCACGGCACTCACTCTAGCCTGGGCAACAAAGTGAGACTCTGTCTCAAAAAAAAATAAATAAATAAATCAAAAAAAAAAATAAAAGCTAGAACTATAAAATTTTTAGAAAAAAACACAGGAAAAAAATTCTTGCAGTTTTGGGTTAGGTAAAGATTTCTTAAATATTATACCAGTAGCAACATCCAAAGCATAAAGGAACAAATTGATAAATTAGACTTCCTCAAAATTAAAAACTCCTATTCTTCCAAAGATACTGTTAAGAGAATGCTATGGTTTGGATATGGTTTGTTTGTCCCCACCGAGACTCATGTTGAAATCTGATCCCCAATGTGGCAGTGTTGGGAGCTAGAGTCTAGTGGGAGATGTTTGGGACATAGGGGCTGATCCCTCATGAACGGCTGGCTTGATGCCACTCTTTCAGTTAGTTCTTGCTCTGATGGTCAGACTAGATTAGTTCCCATGGGAGTAGATTAGTTCCCTAGAGAGTGGGTTGTTAGAAAGCCAGAAGGCCCCTGGGGTTTTGTCTCTTCACACTTCACCTCCCCTTTGACTTCAGGCCTTGACCTAGCATGTGAACCTGACCAGAAGCCAAGCAGATGCAGGTATGATGCTTCTTGTACTTCCCAGCTAAATAAACCTCTTTTCTTTATAAATTATCTAGCCTCAGGTATTCTGTTATAGCAACACAATGGACTAAGAGAATAAAAAGACAAACCACTGACTGGGAGAAAATATTTGCAAATCATGTATCTGATAAAAGATTTATATCCATAATATAGAAAATCTCACAAAGGTTAAATAAGAACATAGGCCGGGCACGGTGGCTCACGTCTGTAATCCTAACATTCTGGGAGGCCGAGGCGGGCGGATTGCTTGAGGTCAGGAGTTCAAAACCAGCCTGAGCAAGAGCAAGACCCCGTCTCTACTATAAATAGAAAGAAATTAATTGGCCAACTAATATATATAGAATAAATTAGCTGGGCATGGTGGCACATGCCTGTAGTCCCAGCTACTTAGGAGGCTGAGACAGAAGGATCGATCCTGAGGAGTTTGAGGTTGCTGTAAGCTAGGCTGATGCCACAGTACTCACTCTAGCCTGGGCAACAAAGTGAGACTCTGTCTAAAAAAATAAAATAAAATAAAAAATAAGAACGTAGACACTCAATAAATAAATGGGCAAAGATTTTAACGAATAGTTCATCAAAGAAAATATATAAGAGGCAAAAAGCACATGAAAAGATGTTCAAAATCATTAGTCATTAGGGAAATGTAAACTAAAACTGCAATGAGATACCAGTTCACTCCTCTGAGAATGCCTGAAATTAAAAGGACTAACCATACCAAGCCTTGGCTAGATTGTGGAAGGTAGAACTCTCATACACTGCTGGTGGGAATGAAAAATGGGATGATCTCTTTGGAAAATAGTCTGGCAGTTTCTGACAATGTTAATCTTATATTTACCATATTATCTAGCCATTGATTTTATTCCTAAGTATGTATCCTAGAGAAAGAAAGTATATGCCCATGAGGAGACATATACAAATATTCACAGCAGCTTTTATTTTTAAAAAAGACTCAAACTGGAAACAACTCCAATTTCCATTAAAAGGTGAGTAGATAAAACAAAATGTAGTATATCCATATAATGAAATTTTACTAAGTCATAAAGAGGGAACTCTTCATATATATAAAACTATGGATAAATATAAAAATAATTAGGTCAAATGAAAGAAACTAGACAAAAAAGAATGCACAACATATGATTCCATTCACATAAAATGATAAGAAACAAAAACTAATCTATACTGACAGAAGATCAGTGATTGGGAATGGGACAGGGAAGCTGGAGACAGGTAGGTGGAGGGGATCACAAAGGGGCAATGAGGAAGCTTTCTGGGGTGACGAATATGTTCATTACCTTGACTGTAATATTGGATTCACCAGAATATATGTATATTAAAACTTATTAAACCATATATTTTAAATATCTACAGTCTATTATATGTCAACGAGGCTCAAAGAAGTATTCAAAATACATTTGTATAATCATAAGTCTTTGATCCAATTAAATAAATCAGCCAAGAGTCCCACTATTATGCTCTTATTGTATATTAACAGATCCACACTATGTGTTTTTTTTGGTTTTTTTTTTTTGAGACAGAGTCTCACTTTGTTGCTGAGGCTAGAGTGAGTGCCGCGGCGTCAGCCTAGCTCACAGCAACCTCAATCTCCTGGGCTCAAATGATCCTACTGCCTCAGCCTCTCAAGTAGCTGGGACTACAGGCATGCGCCACCATGCCCAGCTAATTTTTTGTATATATATATTTTAGTTGGTCAATTAGTTTCTTTATATTTTTAGTAGAGGCGGGGTCTCGCTTAGGCTGGTTTCAAACTCCTGACCTTGAGTGATCCACCCACCTTGGCCTCCCAGAGTGCTAGGATTACAAGCGTGAGCCACCACGCCCGGCCCACACTATGTCTTATCAAATGGTTCCACAACCATCATTTACAATGATATACAATGATATACTGGATGTCTATATCCTTTTTTTTTTTTTTTTTTTTTTTTTTGAGACAGAGTTTCACTTGTTGCCCAGGCTAGAGTGAGTGCCGTGGTGTCAGCCTAGCTCACAGCAACCTCAAACTCCTGGGCTCAAGCGATCCTCCTGCCTCAGCCTCCCGAGTAGCTGGGACTACAGGCATGCGCCACCATGCCTGGCTAATTTTTTCTATATATATTAGTTGGCCAATTAATTTCTTTCTATTTATAGTAGAGACGAGGTCTCGCTCTTGCTCAGGCTGGTTTCGAACTCCTGACCTTGAGCAATCCGCCCGTCTCGGCCTCCCAGAGAGCTAGGATTACAGGCGTGAGCCACCGTGCCCGGCCTGTCTATATCCTTTTGAAGTATAAAAATTAAAACTAAAAATACCAGCTGGGCGCATGGCTCAAGCCTTTAATCCTAGCACTCTGGGAGGCCGAGGTGGGCGGATCGTTTGAGCTCCGGAGTTTGAAACCAGCCTGAGCAAGAGCAAAACCCCCATCTCTACTAAAAAATAGAAAGAAATTATCTGGACAACTAAAAATATATAGAAAAATTAGCCGGGCATGGTGGTGCATACCTGTAGTTCCTTCCAGCTACTTTGGAGGCTCAGGCAGAAGGATTGCTTGAGCCCAAGAGCTTGAGGTTGCTGTGAGCTAGGCTGACATCATGGCACTCTAGCCTGGGGAACAGAGCAAGACTCTGTCTCAAAAAAAAAAAATTATTATAGAATGTAAAAAACCATGGTCACCAGGAAAGAATTTGTATTACAATCTCAAATTGCTAGGAAGACCTAACAACTGCTTAGTTCCACACCCATCTGAGAGATACATAGGAATCATCCATTATTATTTATACAGGCAGAAAGTATATGTAAATTTATTATAAATGCATGTTAAATATCAAGTTCCTTTCCCCAAATGGACTGTTCATTGCTTTGTGACAAAGTAATACATCTCTAAGATGGACCTCAAAGGCTCCTACAAACCATGCAGCTGCTGAAAAGGGATGAAATTCCATCTGCTAAATCTCTTCTCCAATGATGAGATCTAAGTAGCTTCTCTACCTTTAGGCTATGTTATAAACATAGAAACTATCCCACAACACACTTCTGTTCAGATCTATGAACTCACTTGAGCCAGGTGTCATATCCCACCAGGGATGGAAGTGTTTGGGTCTCCTGAGGACTGATTTGTTCCCTTCAAATCTGGAGTAGAAGCTTCAGCAGTCACCACGACCCAGATCCTCAGAACCGCCTCCTGTCATGGATGATATGAGCTCAGTCACCTGTACAAAAAGCTACACAGGGAGATAGAATCCAGCAATCATCATGCTTTGTTGGAGTAACTATGTGCCCAGCACCACGCAAGCTAAATACTGGGTTAGTGACCAAAGACACTGATACAACTGGGTGGCGATTGTAACAAGCAGAAGGTACAAAGGGTTTCTCACCAGGGCCTTTTTCTTCTCCTTTCCTCTATCTTTCCTATATCTATCCCCTAACAACAAATTTGAAAAGGAATAAGAAGTGGCCCAATTTTCATACAGACATTCACGATCCCACCATAACCACAGGGCTATGGGCTTGCACAGGTGTTGTCACTGAAGGTTCCAGCAATCCTGTGGTGAGCATTCTCATCCCCATTTTACAGAGGGGGAAGCTGGGCTCAGAGAGAGTCGTTACCTCATTCTCCCGCGCCAGGTCTCTGCACGGAAAGTAGCTCCAGAACACTCTGGAGCAGGACACCACCCTCACATCTCTTTGCCTCAGGAAAACAGCCGGGCACTGAATCCCAAAGCATGAACGAGGAGACCTGGATCTGGGATCCCTGTGTCTCCTCACACCCCAGGGCGGTTCAGCCCCCACTGCGGGGCACCCGCACCCTCAGGTGAGTCCCAGATACCTGAAAGTGGGACCTTGCTCTTCTCACCGGGCCACGTGGGTCTCCATTAAAAAGTCGTCTTGGTAGCCACGGTCGCTGTGATGACGTCAGGTTACTATGGTAACTGCGATGCGCAGGCTTGTTCTCCACACCCGAAATGCCTCCAAATGGTCCTCTGTCCCGCTGCCTTTCCCTGAAAGAAAAACACCTTGACTCCTTAGGCTACGAATGTTACCACCTGATAAAATATACTTATTAGAGGAACTAGGCTGGGAAGCAAATGGCATTTTGCCCAGGTTGTCGGGGCAAAGCATAACCCTGTGGTCAGGAATTGTGTTTGCTTTAAAAGTGACAGCAGGCCGGGCGCGGTGGCTCACGCCTGTAATCCTTAGCACTCTGGGAGGCTGAGACGGGAGGATCGCTCAAGGTCAGGAGTTCGAGACCAGCCTGAGCAAGAGGGAGACCCCCGTCTCTACTAAAAATAGAAAGAAATTAGCCAAACAACTAAAAACAGAAAAAATTAACCGGGTACGGTGGCGCATGCCTGTAGTCCCAGCTACCAGGGAGGCTGAGGCAGGAGGATCGCTTGAGCCCAGGAGTTTGAGGTTGCTGTGCGCTAGGCTTATGCCACGGCACTCTAGCCTGGGCAACAAAGTGAGACTCTGTCTCAAAAAAAAAAAAGATAAATACTCGAGGTGATGGATACCCCAAATACCCTGACTTGATCATTACACATTCTATGCATGTAACAAAATATCATATGTATCTCATAAATATGTACAAATATTAAACATCAATAAAATTTTTTTTAAACTCTAGATTGCAATCTTTTCTTAGCCAAGCATGTGCTCTGCTCTGCCCCCAAGGAGTGGGTCTTATGGTAGGCCCATGACTCTCATCCGCTTTTCTGGGTCTCATTGGCTCCCCAACTATTTCTATGGTCTTGTATTTGCTTGGGTCTTTAAGGTGCCTCCAAAATATACCCCTGCTCCAAGTCTGAGCTTGAAACCAGCTAATAATTCTGAAAAAACTATAAGGAGAACAATATATTGACTTTTATTCCTTATAAAGCCGATATTGGAGAGTCTGACTTAGATTTGTTGGCAAGTGGATGTCCCATTAATGAATTGCAGTATGGGACAGACTTATCCACCCAGTAGTGCTGCATTGGGACAGTCACAAATGTCAAAAACTGTGATGCATATCCGATCTGCTAGCTGCTGAAGGAATCCTGTCTACATGTGCTCAAGGAAAGTGGCTTCCTTGCCAAAGGCTATCCCTGTAGCAGGAGAAAATGTTCCAGGATGCCTTCTTTGAAGATCATTTCCCAAAGGAAATAAATGTCTCTCATTGTGAATGTGATTGGTGTGACATACTCACCAAGCGAACTTCTGAGGATTTGGTTTCTCATGTGACTCATGGGCCATTTGTAGCAACACTCTCTTACTCCCTTAACAAAAATGATTACAGTGGAGGTTCATCTTATGGAAAGGAATTGGAATCAATATTTATTTATTTATTTATTGAGACAGAGTCTCACTCTGTTGCCTGGGCTAGAGTGCCATGGCGTCAGCCTAGCTCACAGCAACCTCAAACTCCTGGGCTCAATCGATCCTACTGCCTCAGCCTCCCGAGTAGCTGGGACTACAGTCATGCGCTACCATGCCCAGCTAATTTTTTGTATATGTATTTTTAGTTGGCCAATTAATTTTTTTCTATTTTTGGTAGAGACGGGGTCTCACTCAGGCTGGTCTCGAAATCCTGACCTCCGGGGATCCGCCAGCCTCGGCCTCCCAGAGTGCTAGGATTACAGGGGTGAGCCACCATGCCCAGCCTGGAATCAATATTTAAATTCCAAGAGTAGGGTGAAAGTCATATCTCACAATTCTACTTTAAATAATAATGAAAATAATTTTAAAATCATGCATCTTATTATGAGAAGAACATAACTAGTATATCAGTGTTATTCTGTAATTCCAATTTGGTATCTTGAAATTAAATAAATCAGTCAGTGAAGAGACAAATATATCTATGCATGTATGTGTATTTCAACATGCATAGAAAAAAAGTATGCCAAGTACAGCCCAAAATGATAGTAATGATTACCTTTAGGCAGTGGGATGGGGGAATGTTGGTCAGGAAAGAGACTTTCACTTTGTCTACCTGTGGGACATTTTAATCCACATATAGATTATTTATATTTATAATCTGCTACAAATCAGTATGTATGGAAGATATTCTTATAAGCAGTAAAGGTACAGAGGAGAATAAAATTGTATTCAATATATACTTAAAACATATTTGTCTAACTCATTGTTTTATTAAAATTAATTTAGGAATGACAAATGGTTCCATATGGCTTAGGATCTAAAAATGCAAAAAGAAAATTACGTTCAGTGGGATACAGCTAAAAATTTAAATAAATGTGATCTATGTTCCTTCTGAATTATAGTTCATTAAGGGAAAATCTTATGCTCTGGCAAATAATAATATCTTTTAAAGAATATCAGAATGATCAGGAACTGTGGCTGGGTATGATTTTTTTAATTTTTTGGTTTTTTTAGACAGAGTCTCACTCTGTTGCCCAGGCTAGAGTACTGTGGCATCAGCCTAGCTCGCAGCAACCTCAAACTCCTGGGCTCAAGCAATCCTTCTGCCTCAACCTCCCGAGTAGCTGAGACTACAGGCATGCGCCATCATGCCTGGCTAATTTTTTCTATATATTTTTAGTTGGCCAATTAATTTCTTTCTATTTTTAGTAGAGACAGGGTCTCACTCTTGCTCAGGGTGGTCTCGAACTTCTGACCTTGAGAGATCCTCCCGCCTCGGCCTCCCGGAGTGCTAGGATTACAGGTGTGAGCCACACTGTGCCAGGCCAGGGGTATGATTATAATATCAAAAGTGTCATGAACAAAAGGAGAATTTCTAGGTGAGCTTGTTTTGAGCTTGTTTCAGATCCATACCAGTGGGGCCATGTGTCTCAGTGACCTTTGTCCTCTCTTAGTAGGGCCTATAGTCTAACCTGAACTCCAGTAGGGATCAGCTGCCTCTCAACCCTCTTCACCCCGGGCAACACACTCGCTGGAGTAAAGGAATTAGGAGAGTCCCACCAGCCAGCCCCAAGTTCTGTCATATGTCTTCATCACCACTGTCACCAGCCTAATATTAGTTTTCCATAGTAAAAAGGATAGACTTCTGTCACTACACCAGGAGAGACTCCATTCCACAGGGCTGCTCCTCATGGCTGTTCTGCTCTGTTCAATTCTGAGGGTGGCATTTTTACCTTCAGAGTCCAACTCCTTCCAGGCTGGCAAAACCAAGGGATCACATGTATTTGCAAACTTTCCAGTGCCTTGCCAGAGCTCAGCAGGTAAAATGCAAACTCTGGCCTATAAGCAACAGGCCCCTGTGCACTCTACCTCCTACCTTCCTCACTACCCTCATCTGAGCCACTCCCCTTCTCATATTCACTCTGTTACAGTGGCCTCCCTCCATCCCAAATGGGCCAAGTTACTTTCCACCTCTGGGCCTTTGTACATGCTACTGCCCCTGCCTGGAAGTCTCTCCTACCCTAGCTTTCTCCTGTTCACGATCCTGTTGACACTAAAGGTAATTTCTTAGAGGGGAGAAATTTCCTTTAAATGTTCCCCCTCCCATCTAAATTAGATCCCCAGTGCTGTTTTCTGGGATATTGGACTTTGCTCCATAAATGCCACATGAGCAAAAGTACTTGACAAAAAGGGAGAGATGCAAGTAATGCATCTCTAATTGAGTATTAATAAATACTCAATTCAGGTATGAGACTCCCATTGACCGGGCTCCCCAGTGTAATTCTCCTTGGTAGCTCAGGAGAGGAGAGAGGAAATGACTCACCCAAGATCCTGTCAGCAGTGAGGGCTTAGGCACTGAGATTCAGGCAGAGCTCCTGATTCTTGCTCCAATGTCCTTCCCTACAGACCCATGGTCACCAAATGCCTTGTCTTTCCTGGAGCTCCAAGAAGATCCCAGATTCTCAAGTCACTGGCACACCTGGAATTGAACCTAATGGACCCTAAAAGGCCATGGGGAAGACACAACCATTCAGTAGGAAAGACTAAGCATTTCTTTCCCATCCCATCCCATCAGAAAACTCATTCTATAACATTCTGTATCACAGAAATGGCCTAGAATCTGTCACATAAGTACATGAGTGTGTTTATTTTTCTTCTCCTTTTAACATTCCCAAAATGCTCTCTAAGATACAGTGATGATTTTGAGATGAATATAAAATCTCACTTAAAGAGAAATATGGAATAAGAATAAAACAAACAAATGCTGCCTGATTATATGTTCTAGATATTCTATTTGGTATCAGGATTTCTTTTTACAAATTATAAAAGTGAGTCTCAGAGAGGTTAAGTATGAGTCCCAGGGCTACCTAGCTACTAAAAGCAAGAGTTGCTACTATAATCCCCATGTGCTTGGCTCAAAGGCCTGTGTTTGGAGCCAAGTATTCAACCTCCTCTTTGAGAAATGTCTATTCAGATCCTTTGCCTGGTTTTTATTTGCGTTATTTGATTTTTTTCCTATTGAGTTGTTGGAGCTCCTTATATTCTTATATAATTAATATATTCTACTTATTAATCCCTTGTCAGATGAGTAGTTTGCAAATATTTTCTCCCATTCTGGGGGTTCTATCATCACTTTGTTTTGTTTTTTTGTTTGTTTGTTTTGAGACAGAGTCGCTTTGTTGCCCAGGCTAGAGTGAGTGAGTGCCATGGCGTCAGCCTAGCTCACAGCAACCTCAAACTCCTGGGCTCAAGCAATCCTCCTGCCTCAGGCTCCTGAGTAGCTGGGACTACAGGCATGCGCCACCACGCCCAGCTAATTTTTTCTATATATATTAGTTGGCCAATTAATTTCTTTCTATTTTTAGTAGAAACGGGGTCTCGCTCTTGCTCAGGCTGGTTTCGAATTCCTGACCTCAAGCAATCCGCCCGCCTCGGCCTCCCAGAGTGCTAGGATGCTAGGATTACAGGCGTGAGCCACCGCGCCCCGCCTATCCTCACTTTGTTGATTGTTTTCTTTGCTGTGCAAAGCTTTTTAGCT